TAAATCAAATAACAGACGTGTGGTGAACATGGCTCTCTGATCACAGGAACAACAGTCTGTGGGTGGTAACGACACAGAGTAGTGAATGTTCGTTTGGAGGGGATGAAGGAGGACTGTTGAACTGGTTTTTCTTTGTATGGTAACCTCAGACTCCTCTTCCTGCTGAGGTCAGGGAGTTTTATTGCTGCCTGACATCATGGAGGAGTTTCTCCCCTCAGGTCATTTCACACACACAAGCTTTGTGAAGCACTGAAACACTTCAGCTGAATAAGGAGTCAGAAAGGAGCCATGGGCAATAATCAACGAAAAATACACTGCATGGAGAGACTGACCTTCTCGTTAAGGCTAAAGTTTGACTATTACCGTATTGGTCCGAATATAAGACGACCCTGATTATAAGACGACCCCCGTTTTTCAACACTCACATTTAGAAAAAAAGATTTTCAGACCAGATCTTGTTTTTATAAAGAACTTTTTTTAAAGAACAATATTAAAAACAAATTGAATTAAACACCTGTTGTAATAATAATTAACATACTGTATTTATCAGTATAGGCCTACGGCACTTTTCAAAACAAAGTGTTTCACAAGGGCGAACTATGTACAGTATGATTCAAAATTATTAACAATTTTAAATAACAGAGGAAATACAGGCAACATTTTTAACTAAACTACCGCTAAACTAAAACTCGCCAAACTTCTCCTCCGATGTCTCCTCTCTATTTCTCTCTCTCTCTCTCTCTCTCTCTCTCTCTCTCCACATGCTATCGGCCTGACCTGCTATAATCCCTGACCATAGTCTCACCCCCCCCCCCCCCCCATCTGTACTGAGCTGCACTGAGCTGCACTGTGAATCAGCTGATAATCTGCTCTGTTCACAAACTCCTGCAGTGTGTCACTCTGTCATACCTGAGGACGTGCTCAGGTGGACGTCACTGCTCGATTTGACCACCTTGCTGTTGACGTGATCAAACTCTTCTTCCTCCTCCTCGTCCTCGTCCTCCTGCAGGGTCTGAGCGTCTGTCCTGGGGGGGGCCAGTCTGTGTGACACCTCAGTCTCTGAGTGAGCGACCTCATTCTGCTGCTGCTTCATGCAAACACATCAGAAAATGTGGTTAAAAACCAGACTCAAAGCGCGGTGCTGCTTCATGATTAATCTGAAGTGTTGACTCCACCTGTGACGATGAAGAGTGCAGCCCTGAAGGCAGACAGGAAGCCGGGGCGAGGAAATCCTCGTCCTCCTCATCGTCGATGTCCCAGGCGTCGTTGGTGCTGCGGGCGAACTCGTGGAAGCTGGATGCCTTTTTAGTCTTGAGGTTGTTGAACTTGGGCTTTGTTTCTTTGGGATACCTGCAGAGAAACAAAGCTCTGAGATTAGACATGTGGCGGTCTCTCTTCCTGCAGCACAGTCAGCAGATGATTCAACAAAAAGAAACAAAAACAAAACAACAAGCTCAACAAAAACTCAACATGATGACATCTGTTCAGACAGCTGGAGCATGCAGGCCATGTTCACTGTCCTCAAAGCATGTGCAGGAACAATCAGCCACAGGAAATAAAAAGCATCCACACAGCGACCACATGACACAGGCCGGGCGGGGTCAGCACTTACGTGCGTCGTAAGCGCGGGTCGAGAGGCGGATGCTGTGCTCCGTAAACGGGTTGTACGCTGCAGGAGAAGTGAAACACTGTCACCAGAAAACACACCTGAAGAGCAGCTGCTGCTAACACTCCTTAAAGTCAATCTACACACAAGAACACTGTTTTAAAGACTAATGCAAAGACAATCGAGATCAGATCCAAGACGAGGGAGGGGGTCAGATCCACAGCGAGGGAGGGGGTCAAAGTAGTGAGGACAGTAAACGTTTAAACCTCAGAGATCTTTGTTAGGAAACAACAACTCCTTTCATCGTTACTGGTTCATGCACATTATCTGTCGATGACAGCTGGTGCAGCTACGATGGATGTAGCTTCCAGAGAAGTGTGTTTAGAAGTGGATGGACAAAGGACGGCTGAGCTGTGACAGATATCACAGAGAGCAGAAGAGGAACTTTAAAGAGGATTGTAAAGACGAGTTAATATAGAATCAGTCTGAATAATGAGCCAGCCTCTAAAACACGGGGGGTGAAAGTATTTTAGAGTACAGAGTCTGTCACCCTCTCCTCCTCTGACAGCTCAGCTCCTCCCTCTGAACACGGAGTTATTTAGATGGAGCTGTTTTTAGTTTGCATTGAACAGAACTACCGGACAGATTGCACAGCCTCCGTGTTCATCACCACCCTGCTGTGAACAATATGCTCAGAGGACGTGAGAATCTTCATCCTCAGCTGCTCTCCAACTCTCTGCAGACCCAAAGCACCCTCAGTATTAACTCATCCATTCATACACATTCACACACTGATGGTAGAGGCTGCTGTGTAGAGTCCATCAGTATTAACTCATCCATTCATAATTAATGAATTATTAATTAGGTTTATTATTAATAAACTTTGAATGTTTATAAATCTGACATCTCATCTCAGAAAAGCAGAGACTGAATATTTGAGGTCTTCAGTTAAAGACTTTCCTGGTTTGAGAATAAAATGATTTGATTACAGTAACGACTTCTCTGCTCTGTGACTCAGGACATGCTGATCTCTAAATGAGATCTCAATGAGGTTCTCCTGTATCCTAAATACAATAAATGAAACTCTCTGATGATCTGAAATGTTGTCTGTCAGGGTTTTGCTTCAGAAGGTAAACACATGTAATGAAGGTTCGGCCACTTGTGCAGCTCAACACTTCAGAGAAGCAGCGAGGCGTCGAAGTATCAACACCAGTCAGTGCACTTTGTCACACTGAGGCTGAAGATATCAAAGCACCGGGCGTCATTTGCATGAACAAACCGTCAGTTTGACTGTGAGAATCTGGCCTGCTGATTATCTGCAGCTGGCAGAGCCTCATCGTGTTTGCAGCGTTTTTATCAGAGCGGCTGAAGGACGACGGCGAGGCGAGCTGCTCCTTCCTGTTCAAACATCTGTTTGTGTTTCCACCCTGATCTGACAGAGACAAAAACGCCCTCAGAGATCAGCTCCTCAGATTACACACACAGACACACAGAACCCCCCCCCTCCCCCTCTGAGCTCCACCAGCCGGTATCAGGGAGTCTCAGAGGCCTCCCTATAAATGAGGTGCTAATGAAGATATAAACATGAACAGGTCAGGCCCTTTAAAGAACTGAGATCAGGTTTCTCTACAAGTCAGCAGAAACTTGGAGACCTCATGAGAAGACCTGCTGCAGGTCCTCGGAGCTTGTTATGATCCAGCATGATGTGGATTGAGAAAGAGGGGCAGGCTGGGACTAGCCTAAACCAGGATGGGGCAGCTTGTTTATTTACATTAAGGTGTTAACGTGCTGAGCTGTGTTCCTCCTGTAAAATAATGACTCAGCCATGTTTGAAATGTGTGAGAGCAACACAAAGCCTCTGATCCAAAAAAAGATGGCCGCAGGAATAACTGTCCACATACACTCCCCACATGTACAGGTAGGTACACCTGCACAGTGTGATCCACATGTACCCACATGTGTGATGGTTTTTAACGCTGCAGCTCTGCCATGAATTCTACCAAAGCAAACCTTTAAATGTCATTATGAGAAAGGTTAAAGTTCGTCTGCTGTTTGTCTTTGAGCGCAGAGCGGGCGTCAGCTTCACCGTTTCCTGTTTGTCTACACGGCGGATCAAAATATAAAGGAAACATCTTCAGCACCTCTGAACACTTTAACATCAATTAGAGATATTTACAGAAACCTGAACTGTTTTAACACAGATCACATTAAAATGAAACTTCTTTGCCTGTCAGCTTGAACACATCTAACAGCAGTGACTCGTGTTATTCACAGCTGTAATAACAATCAGATTTAAAAGGATTAAAAACCTCGTCTGCTTGCACGGAGGACTTCCTATTCTTACATCCAGATGTTTCAAGGATTACCGGAGGGATTAGAAACACACCTGAACTGAAACTCAAACCGGCTGAGGTGTTGTTAGGACCTTGTTGTTGTTTCTAACAACCTTCAGTCTGTCCGCCCTGCTTTGTAAGAAGCATCCCTCCTGTTCTCTTATCACCTGGTCAGCTGGATGTTGAGAGTCAGGTTGTCACATGACCAGAGTTCAACTTCCTAATAATGCTAGTAAAACAAAGACACCTGAAATAAGGAAACTCCTGCAAACAGCTGCATGTGTACCTTTACGGAAATGTTGCCAACTCATTGTTGCGATGTGTTCAGGAGTAAACTTGTGATTTTGATGGATTAATTCCTCTCTTACACACCTGTCATAGAAAATATGGGTCTTTTTTTGTAAGTTTCGGTACATTTACGATAATATCGATCATTAAAATAACAGATGGTACCGTTTTAAACACGTATGTGAAATAAAGTACTGAAAGTGTTACTACATTCATGTTTTTTACAGAAACATTATAACGTGAAGTTGAGCTCAGCAGGTCATTCTGGATCCAGTCCCCCCCCCTCCACCACCTCATTATAACTTAATTATAGATGTATTATTCAGTATAACACAACAACATTAATCTAACAGAACCTACCGGAGGATAACGCTAAATGAACGTTTTCCTGCTAAGGTAACGATCACCCACCTTCCGGGAACCTTTGCATTTCTCCTCCAAAAATTGATCCTGTTATCGGTGGCCATACTCGGATAACACGACCCCCCCGTCACACGGACACCGGCCCCCGGCTCCAGCAGACCATGGGGTTTGACTGACGGTATCCCGGCCCCTCTCGGCTCCTCCTGGTCTGCCTTCTCTCGACTTTAACCGCCCGGGAGAGATCGTTTTATTCGGCTTTCAAATGCGACGGTCTCCGATGCGAGTACTGGAAGTCGCCATCTTGGAGCACACGGAACGGAACGCGTGATTGGCGGGAGCGGTCGAGCAGGTGCAGTGAAAGTGACCAATGGGAGAAGGCGAAAGAGTGACGACGGTGGAGGGATGCTAGTTGGAGGGAGACGTCGAAACAAGTCTGATGGGGTTTGGCTCTCTACTAGTGGGAGGAAGTTTGTTAAATATAATATTATTAAACTCCACAGAGCCAGGGTGGGTGAAATGTTCGGAAAGATGCCCAGAGAGGGTCCCTACAACCCGGCTTCAATCCTGTGTGCTCGCAGCCGTCGTCTCTCCGAGAAGCAGGTGTTACGTCAAACTCTGTGACCCTACACATTCTGTGACCTGACCCGAGCTGACATGCTAGCTCTAGTGACACTTGAACACGTTTTTTTTTTTACCTTATTTATCACGTTTGTGTATCTTTTTCAACGAATTGAAAATGTCTAAGTTTTGTACAAGTCATGTGAAAACATAAATGCCAAACATTTTCTGGTAACAGTTAGATACTTTAGTTTTTCTGCCCTTCAGCTCCAGCTCTGGATAGTTCGGACCTTTTCTCTTTACTACCTTACTGCCCAAACAATAATTCACAAATGAAACACAATAACACCATTTGTTTAAAACTGTCCCCCATCTGCATTTTCTTTATTCCTTTCTTTAACATAACATTTCAGAAAGATAAAATAATATATTTACAGTCTAGGGGAAAACCCAGACTGTTAAATTTTGAACCCATTTCCGGGTTTTCGCCCCGCCCCCTTTTACAAAAACAATGGTGGTAAATAAAAATGCGATTTAAAAGCTTCAAAGTAAGAAAGTTCGGTGTGTACTGGCTGTTAAGAGCCTAAATGTAATTGTCAGTCAGATAAAAATATGACTTTTTAAAACAGGTATGAACATGATGTTAAAAAAACAAAGAGTGTCAGTCTGCCTCCATAAAACTAGACACATGACCCCATCCTGATCTTTTAATTGTATTTCTCTGTAAGTAGTTTCTGGTAGTGTTGTTCATGGCTGTAATGAAGATGTAAATATAGTCACGCACTAAAAACGGGACACATGGTCGTTTGACCACTTTGAGATCAGCAGGAGTAATCAGGAGTTAAGAAGCTCTAAACAGAAAATGTTGAACATCTTACCCTGAGAAAAATTAAAAATGATTATTTAACTATGAGAGTACAGTTTGTTATTAATGTTCTTTGCTTGTTTTATAAACTGCAGCTTAATACAGATTTCCACTCAGGTGAGTTAGATTTAAAGGGAAGAGGGTCAATTAAGAAATGAAGAGAGCATGTTGTCAAATCTAATGTTCTTTATCGGCCACAAACAGGAACTCTAATCACAACACTTCCCTGTTTGACCCTTGAATCTTTATTTCATTTCATGCTTTGTAATACTTCTCTTTTCCCCCCAGATGATGCAGTTACACTCTGTGTCCACATGGGGGCAGAATCCTCCTGCAGCAGAGAGAGAGAGAGAGAGCGAGAGCGCTGGTCAGAGTGAAACCAGCTGAGCCACCTGCTGTTTACTGTAAATGTAAGCTGCTCATCACACCAGTAACAGAGAACACACACACACACACACACACACACACACACACACACACACACACACACACACACACACACACACACACACACTAATGATCTCAGTGTTGTTTAAGTTCATGAAGAAGTTTTTCAGTTTTTTTTCTCCATTCAAATGAAGTCAAATTCAGTTTGACTTTTCATGGCCGCCTGTATTTGAATCCCAGGTGTGCTCCCGTGCTTGTTTGTTTAGGGAAATCACTGCAGCTCCCCACCTGTCTCCCCCTCCCTCTGCCTCCAACGAACTCCAACTGACACGCTACAGGTGAGACTTTCAGTCTGGGTTAGTGTCCCGTGTCACTGTGAGTGCAGAGCAGCTCCATTCACACATTTCTCTGGATTATCAGGATTTGTAATGAGGGGTTTTTTGGGGAGGTTTTGAGGCTTGCCTGCGGCGGGTCTTGTGACTTTCTGCCTCTGCACTGTGTGTGTGTGTGTGTGTGAGAGTGAGGGGAGCTGTGGGTAGAAAGCAGCAGAAGAAGAGAGGAGATACAGCAGCAGGAGTCACAAGGCAGGACAATGAGGATCTGTGTGAGGGACTGCTGGAGCCGCCCGGGGCAGCTGTTAGCTTAACGACTCTCTGCTTTGAACGACCACCAGAACTCCTTCTGCATTTATTTAACATGCCACATTCTGACTTGATTTCTCAGTTCAAACCCTAAAAAGACTCCTTTAAAAGTCTGTTCCTGCAGACCCTGGAGAGCACTGGGTTTGAACCTGAATGTGGTTCTTCACTGCACATGCTCAGTCGAAGCCCCCCAGCTATACTCCTGTTAGTGTGACCCCCGTTCATGCAGCTCTCCCTCTCCCCCTGAAAGGACAGCTTTGTGACTCTTTCTCTTCCTGTAAACCAAAGTAGCAACAAAAAGCACGGGGAGCGTTCTGTAGAGAAAAGAGGAAACTTGTTGTGCTGTCACTGCGGCGGCTCGTAGACTCTGCACTTTGTCTGAAAACAACAAACTTTGAGCAGAAGTTGACCAGAAGTTTATAAAGTGTGTTTTTGAACCTTTAACGGGAGTTTGTTCAG